AAGTGTTGGTTCTGCCATAGCGATACCTAGGTCAGCTGTAAAAATAGGTACAGAAGGCTCTGGGGGGTTTACCTCAAAGATAAATTAGTCCTAAGGTTGAAGACGATGATCTGGTACATCTGAGATGGCCAGTGATATTAATACAGGTTACAGGTTCAGAGGGTTTAAAGTGAAACACCCAAGCAGGGGTGTTAGGTATGGCAATTGGTGGAGAACCTTCAGGCGGACTTCTTAAATAGGTAATATAGAAAAGTTACATGTGTAGTCAATTGTACACTCTCCTATAGTAGTTCATTGAACCACAATACTAATAAGTGATTAATAAAGGTCAAAAGACCAAAGAGGTCACCTTAAAAAAAAAATAAATAAATAAAAAAATAAAACAAAAAAACAAAAAAGTTTTATTTAAATATTAAATTTCTGTTTTTTGATTTATTTAAATTTAGCTAAAAAAAAGAAAAATTATTTAAAAATTAAAAAAAAATAAAAAAAAAGTTTTATAATTTATCTTCAATATCTTAATTTTTATCAGATAAATCTAAATTAAATAGTAATAAAAATCAGTAAAATATTTTAAAATAAATTAAAATATTATAAAGATATTCAAAAATAAAAAAAAAATATGAAAATAAGTAAAATTTTAAGAATTATAAAAATATTTTTAAAATATTGCAAATAATAACTATATATAAGTTTTAATTTAACAATTATATTTTTTTTTAGCCTTTTACTTATTTAATATAATTTGTTAATTATAATTAGTATTAAAAATAAATAAAGTATTTTAAAATTATATAAACTATTTTCGATTCTTGTAAAATATTTTTATGTTTACTGCAATTAGTCTGGATATTCTAGATATTGTAACAATACTAGGCAGAACTATCCTAAAATTCCCATAGCCGGTAGGTTTGTTTGTATAATGTAGAACATTACTACACTCAAAAGAAGCATTGGATTTGGGCGAGTACTAAGGATAAGTATATCTTTATTGACTATACTATGAGATCTGTTTTTATTACATTATAATCACATTACTTATATACTTTTTCCCTATACACTATATTTACTAATTATGCTCTATATGCTATATTTACTAATTACACTAATTATGCTATATCTACTATTTACGCTCTATATGCTATATCTACTAATTACGTTGATTATGCTATATCTACTAATTATGCTCTATATGCTATATCTACTAGTTATGCTCTATTTGCTGTATCTACTAATTACACTCTATATACTATGTGCTATAATAATTACTATATATTATTACTACATTATGCAATGTAACTTAAATGAGATATTAATGATTCTATTTTGGATCATGACATTTTTCACCACTTTAATACATTCATTTTATAAATTTATACCAAGCTTCAAAAATCTTCAGCCTTTATTCTTATCATTATAGTTATATTAATACTCTTTGTATGATAGATTTGGGTGGATTTATAGGCTTCAAATAGCCAAAATGCTCTTGTTGCAACTGTGAAGTAGTGTTTTGTGATCACCTTTCAGTAAAAGGTCTGCTGCTTGGGATCCATCTTGGTCAATATTTCATCCAGGTAAAAAGTATAGATTAAACTTTCAGTGTAGTTTTTGAGTTTAATGTTCTTAAGCATTTGCTGATATGTCTTTATTACTTTGTTATCTAGGTCTTCAGCAAGGTGGTATGATAAGAGCATAACAATATCTTGCAGAGTGGTTAATAGTAGATCGCTAATTATTTTACTAAGAGTACTTATGACTTCAAAAAAATTTTTTTTTTTTTTTCTGGTTTACTAATAGCTAATTATTTTCTTATAAGAAATTTTTTACCAGAGTCAAATATCCGCCACTCTCCTCCAGGATCAAATATCTTAAAAGCTAACTAATATATTGATAAGTACCAAATTATACCTTTTGTTTCATTAGTAAATCCTTTTTCATTCTTTAACCACCTTTTCTTCTTTTTTTTAGGACTATCATTTTAAACTGAAATTGTTATTTTAGGGATCAGCGAAGATATCTGTCTTAATTAAAGGTGATACACAGTAATTTTGGAAATTTTTTCTTTTTCATCACCTTCCAGTCCTTGGACACATGATTTTGAGTAAGTTTCATAACACTTAGCTGTTTTCTTTGTTTTATTCATCTAGGCTTTAAACTTATCTACCTTCTCTTTTCATTTATCACAGGCTTCTTAAAAGGTATTGGTCTGCTTGTCGGCTCCTGTACTGGCAGTTTATTCTTCTTAAGATTTGAATTGACCTTATCAGTTTCTAATAATTACTTTTAACTTTGTCTTGGCCAATACTTGTCACAGAGCCAATAGTAAATAATTTGTCATCAAAAACTCTTTGCCCAGTTGACATTTCCATCATGATAAGTTTGAATTCATAAATGTTAGCTGCTTTTGTAAAATTTTTATCTTGCAAAACCTTTGGTGTGATATAAGGCATAATCTCATAAATTATATTCTTGTGTAAAATATTCCAATCAATCTTATTTATAATGTTGTTATAATTCATGTTGCAGCTTTTTGATAATATTTGAATGCCTTGCAGTCTTCCTTCATGACACTCATTTTATTATTATAACAACTGTTAACATTATATATTCTGTTAGCATTTTCTAATTTGACAACTTTTTTAACTCTAATTCCTTTTGTAGTAACAACTAACATTAGATGTTTCTTCAACATATTTCATATCTGCAGCCTGCTAAGGATGTTCGAATGTCTTATGTTCATTTTTTTAATTCCAGTTTGTTCATCTCTTTCAACACCATTTCATTTGTCTTTATCGATTTCAATTCAGTTATCTTTTCTAATCCAAATTCATTCATCTTTTTCGATGTTGTTTTGTTTATCTTTATCGATTTCAATACATTCAGCTTTTTTAGCTCTGATTCTATTTTCATAGCACTGACTATTATTAAATGTTCCATTAGAATCATCTATATCTGCAAATTTTCGATAATAACTGAAAGCTTTATGTTCACCTTTGTTAACACTAATTTGTTCATCTTTTTTGATTTCATTTCTATCTTCATTTTTTTGATAATGTTTAGATGCTTTATATCCAGTTTTTTCAACTTCATTTCCATGTTAATGACACTTTCCAAGTTTATATATTTCATTAACATAACTCGTATTGCTAAGGTAATTTTTAAGTTTTTTAGTTTTTTTCCAATCTACTTCTCAAGGCAAGGTGTCATGAACTGTGAGTATTTCTTCTAGCAAATCTTTCAGGTTAGGCTTTTCATTTTTAACCTCTTTTCTTAGTTCCAATTTATTATTTTTAAGGTTTGAGAAGACTATCGAAATGCTAATGCAAGGACTATCTATGAGTATCGGGCTTTTTTTATTTCTGTTATCCAATTTGCCTTTGTTTTTTAGCATGTATTCCACAAATTCCAATGTAAATTCTAGGGCCCCAGGGATCTGTTTAGCATCAAGGGTATCTCCAAAATTTTCATTACTATTTCTTGGACCTTTTAGAGTTGTCTTGCAGTAAATGTTGTAAGAAGCATGATACACCTTAGATCTAACCTTCTGACCTCTGGACATGTAAACATGATGTGTTCTTTTATGTTGCAATAAGAACATCAGGATCTCTTTCAAAAGGACTTTGATATCAGTTCATAATTTTTGCATTTCTTCTGATCTTGCTATTGTTAGGTCACTTTTATTTGAGTTTCGTATTGCTCCCAATTTCATGATTGGTATATTTCATATATTTTTTTTTTTTATTTATTCTTTTATTTTATATGTTTCAGTAATTGTAATTGCTATTGATTCCTATTTTTGTTACTATGACAATATTTATTATACTTGACTTTAAATGATATTAAAATTAACTTTATCATCACTCTGTCTTAAGCTTTTAAAGTTTATCTGTTGATCTCTATGAATATATGCTATTCTTATTCCTCAAATTGAAATTTTTCCTTTTTCTTACAAGTATTCTGGTATTATACTTTTATTGCATAATAAGTATGTTTGTTTAACCAAGCCAGTTCTTTAATTCTTAATTATCTTATATCAACTATCTAATTACTTGAACCAATCGAACTGAAAGTACCTTTTTTATTTTTATTTGTTGGTTTTATTGCAATTTCTTTATGCTAACAGTTTTTTTTTTTTTTTTGTATATATAACAATATTAATCACAAAATCCCAACTTTTATATAAACTGCAGTTTTTGTATAATTGAATTCTCACTGGCTGAAGCATTACTATCAATTTTCATGAACACTATTTTGGCTTGTTTGTGTCCTCTTGGTAAGTTTTTTAACTCAGTTTGGTTCTTTGTTTCTTATTAACTTCTCTTGTATTCTAACTTTGCTGTGTTTTTTTTTGTTTGTTAAATGGTTTAGTCATGAATTAGAAAGTATCTTTTGCTTTTCTTCTTTCATTTTCTTGTTATTTCTACAATACTACCATTTTTTTTTTTAAGTTATCTCAGTATTACTAGGTTAGTATATTAACTTTCTTATAGCATCTGATGCTAGAACAACTCAGACAGGAAGTATCTTCATTTGGTTTTTTTCGTTTGTTGTCTTGTTATTTCTGTTGATACTAACTTTTTTTTTTTTTTTTTTAGTTCTTAATACTAACATCTTATTTTTCTCTTGGCTTGCTAGAACACCAGAACCTGAGCTAGATTCTTTTCTTCAAATTTCAGATAAAGTATTATATATATTTTTTTTTTTGGTTATCCTTTATCAATTTACTAATGAAAATTTTCTTTCCCTTTTATTTTTTTCCAATTTTTGGTGAGTACATCTACAACAGGTATATTCTTTCTTGCTGATATGTTGGCTGGTTTTTCTTCTGGTAAGTTTTTCTTTTCTTTTCTTTCTTGTTCTTTTAATACTTGTCTTTTTCTAATTTAATTTACTTTCTTTCTTAATATAATATGTCAGTGAGGTCTCGATTTGATGATTTAATTCTTTGCCAGTATGTTGGCTTTTGTCTTTCACATGGTGCATTAGTAAGGTGTTAGTACATCGTTTCAAGAGATGATCCTTTTTTGCTAGTACATTGGCTTCTTCCTTTATATAGTGCATCGGTAAGGTGTTAGTACATCATTTCAGAAGATGATACTTTCTTGCCAGTATGTTGGCTTTTGTCTTTCACTCAGTATATTGGTGAGGTTTCTATTTAATGTTTCTTGTCTTTGTTTTATATTTAACCTCTCTTCTTACTTAACTTTTTCTCTTTTTTGCATCAGGAGAATGGGGATCAGACAATCTTATAGTTATTACCAAATGTAACAATACTAGGCAGAACTACTCTAGAATTCCTTATTTATAGGGTAGCTAGTAGGTTCATTCATATAACATACATTAGCAGAATAAATATACGAAATATTGCGAAAGATTTTGCATACTGAAAATCTTTCGAAATAACTGCGATTAATGTAAAATTATTTCGAAATAAAATAATTTCGCAATATTGCGAAAGAAACGAAATAATTTCAAAAGAATTTCGGCTAATTTCAAAATTTTAAAAAATAATAAAACTAAAAAATGAAAAAATAATTCGAATAATATTAGAAATATTTAGAAAAATTCGAAATATTTCGAATATATTGAAATTAT